GTTAAAAACAAAACAAAGGGCCAGGGATTTAGCACAGTGACACCACGCCTGCCTTGCAAGTGCCATGTCCTGAGTTCAATCCTGGCAGAGCAAAAGAAAAGAAAACAAGAGAAGGTGTTTGGCTCCTGAGCCTCTCTCTTCCTGTGAGCCTCTGGCTCTGGGGTCCATGACAGGACACCACTGTCCCAGGGCAAGATGTTGGCACTGTCCTGATGCATTGGCTGTGGACTAACGCCTGCAGGATCCCAGGCTACTGTGCCCTGCTAAGAGTGGTGCAGGAAGAGCAGATCCCAGTCCCGTCCAGACTCATCGGCACAGTGGAAATGACAGCGTAAAGGAGTGAGGAGTATCGCCTATAGAGGGGCTCCCTGCAGGTCACAACCTCAAGGCTTGTGAAGTGTGAAGAGTGACCAGACACCTCCACTCCGAGCTGTTTAACATTTCAAGCACTAAAGCCAAATTCTCTCTGATAGATGAAGATTTGTTCCTGGATCAACCACAGGCAAAGACGCTTTAGGAATTTTTCCATTTAACCTCAACTCTGAGCTGTTTATATACAGCACACTCAGAACAATGTCCTATTTACTAAAAACATAAAATTAAAATATATGTTTATGGGCCGGGTATTTAGCTTCATGGCACTGCACCTGCCTCACAAGCTCAAGAAGGTCCCGAGTTCCATCCCTGGTTAAATTAAAAAAAAAAAAAAAAAGAATGTTTATTTCAGCTTTCAAGTTTAAGTCAATGCTTGTTTTGTTTTGTTTCCAATATTGAGGTTGAATCCAGAACCTATGCACTGAGCTGGTAAATCCAGCCCTTTTCCAACAACATATATTTTTAAAATTTTGAGACACGGTGTCACTAAGTCGTAAGTTGCCCAGGCTGGGCTCAAACTTACAATCTTCCTGCCTCATCCTCCCACATGGGTGCCAACCACGGGTACGAACAATGTTCTTTTTACAAGCTGATTCTTTGGGTGGAATATTGCGGTCACTCCCATCTCCATCGCATTCATTTTATATATTAAATTATGCACGTGCATGCACACGCACACGCACACACACACACGCACACGCACACACACTACCAGCTGCCACCTAAATGAGGCCCAGTGTGAACAGCGCTGAGCGTGGGCAGGGAGAAGTCAGCTGGCAGAGACAGGGCTGCCCTCTGGACCTCCGGATGCACTGGCCTCCAGTGACTTCAGAGCGCCTCTGCTTCTTTGCTTTTCCACTTATTTTCTTCCTTTACATCTCTTCCCCATTAGTATCTGCTCCCTCCTAAATCACAATTTAGTTGATGAGGGCCCACAAGTTAATCTGCTTAAAGCAAACTGAGATGTGAGTAACCCAAACCTCCCGCTCTCCCAGGAGCCACCATTTTCCTGCCAAATATAAGCTTGCTAAGCTAAAATGAAGCTTTGCTTATTTTTCCTCTTTCTCGTCTCTCTTTCAGGGGCTTCCCAGTGCTGGGGGTTTGGTTTTTAGGAGCAGTTGCTGTTTAGTGCCTTCTGACCACTTAGACAAGCCCTCCCCTTACCCATGCTGGGAATGTTCTTGTAGTCCAAATGAAGGGCCAGTTCTTGATTAGAGAAATGAGGCAAGATCTGTCCCCTGGGAGCCCACACACACTCATGAAGGACACGACCCACAGCAGCAGTTACCGTCCAGGGTGGTCAATGCTGTGACACAGGCATGGGCAGAGAGCGGTAAGAGATGGCAAGATACAGTCCCTTCTCATTAAAACAAACCCTGTAACACGCGACAGGGAAGCTGACTAAGACTCTTGACTACCCCTTTGAGGGTTTTTATTTTTCTGCCTTTAGAGATTTTCTCAGTTCCATTACTGTTCCAGACACCATGATAATCCTCTGTGACTCAGTAATGTGGGGACACACTACATTTATTATTGAAAACCTAAGGTAGAAGAAAGGGCCAGTATCTGAATTCTTATCTATTGGATGGGAAGAAACATAGTAACTATAGTGCTTTTCCATAAAGAGACAGTTACAGTGTGTTTTACTCTGCTTCCTATTGCTATAACAAAATACCCAAGTCTGGGTACTCTACAAAGAAAAGAGGTTTGTTTAGCCCACAGTTCCAGAGGTTTAAAGGCATGGCCAACACTAATTGGCTCCGGCAAGGGTTCCCCTGACTACATCATCTCATGGTGATTAGTCTATGGTGGATCATAAATAAGAGGAGATAGGGAGCCAGAGAATGCACAGAAGCCAGGCTTGCTATTTTATAACACCCACCTCTCTCAAGAACAAACCAGAGTCCCATGAGCACTAATTCTTTCCACAGGCAGTGACCCCAAGGACGTAATCAGTAGGCACAAGACCACACTAAGTACCAGACTACCAGCATGTGAACCCTTGGAGGACACACCTGGACTCCAGCTAAACCATAGCACGTGCCTGACACAAATAAGTGTCCACTTTCATTGTTGGGGCACACTCTTGCCTGGGATGGTGAGAGTCATGAAATCGGGGCCATCTGGTCCTGCTGGAGCCTGCTGGAGCCTGTCTGGAACTCACCCCTTCTCCACGGCTCTCATCAGCCTGGACACAGACACAGTTCTGTGCTGGGGAAAAAGCGAGGGCCTGGCCCTCTGAGACACCGCTGCCAGCAGGGAAGCATGTGGCCCAGCTCTGTACCTGTTTCAGGTACGGAGGGCATGTCCACTGCCACTTGCACGAGGTCTCAGCGCCCCATGGGCAGGGAACATGGCTTCACTGCAGTCATATAAGAAATGGCATTGGGAACCAGCTCAGTATAATCAGGACTTTTCTAATGTGGAAGGAGCCCTTGGAGAGGGTCATGTCCGGCTTCTTCCACTTAAAAACACAACTACCTAATTGATAACTTTTAAATGCAGAAAAGTTAAAAGAAATATTCATAACCCCTAATTCTACCACCTAACTAGAATGGCCTCGTGTAAACATTTCTCTCTCTCTCTTTTTTTTTAAGACAAAAAAGATAAACACATCTTTAAAAAAAAAAAAAGGCAAAAGAACAAAAGTGGGCATAAAATGAAAGATAAAAATTGCTTTCCTCCTGTCTGGAACTCTCAGTCCTTTTCTATGTGGTTTTTTTTCCTCCCACCAGTAAGAACAGATGAGAAATACACACACATGTCTACACACATATACATGACTTGAAATTTTTACATAAATAAGATCACGCTTCTCTGCAACTTGCTTTCTCACTAAGGCAGTGAAAGTTTGGAAAGGAGAACACACCATGCTACTTCCTAACTACACATGGTCTTGGGCAGGTTATATATAACTTCACTTCACCTCAGGTGTTTTGATCTGTAAAATATAGGTATAGATGAGTCAGCACATGTGCCATAGTTTAGCTATGAAATGCCTTCCTCCCTAGAGCTCAGATGTTAAAGTCCTGGTTTCTAGGCCATAGTGCTATTGGGAGATAGAAGCCCCTTTTTCTCTGAAGTACTAGGATTGAATCCAGAATCTTCACATTACGCCAGACCCCCAGGCTCTGTTATTTATTTATTTACTTACTTATTTATATTTTGAGAAAGGATCTCACAAAGTCATTGAATTTGTGATCCACTTGCATCAACCTCCAAGGCTGCTGAGATTACAAGCATGTACCATTGGGCCCAGCATAGGTGGCAGAACCTTTCAGAGGTGTGGCCTAATGGTAGAAAGTTAGGTCATTGGGGGTGTGCTCTAGGAGTGATATGGGGACCTGGCCCCTTCCTGTCTTTCTGTTTTTGGCTCCTCTGCCATAAGTTGAATGACTTCCTCTGCTATTTGCTCCCATCTTGATGTGCTATCTCACTACCAGCTCCAAAGCAATGGGGCCAATTAACTATGGACTAAAACCTCCAAAACTATGAGCCAAATCAAATCTTTCCTTTTTCTAAGCTGATTATCTAATGTATTTTTTGCAGTAATGAAAAGATGTACATTTCTTAAAACATAGGTAGCACTCAATGCTTATGTAGTTATTACTTATGACTATTATACTTTTGTTCTTTTCCCATATATCCTGTTTTAAATGCTTCCCAGTACACCAACATAAATCATTTGTGCACTAAATCTTCCTCCAGCTATGGAGATTGAGGCTATATTTATTTGCTATCAACATTACAAACAATACTGAGATATCTTTATTCACCAATTTTTAATACTTTGGTGGAGAAAAAATCCATAGGATGTATTTCTAAGGGTGAATTTGCTGAGTCCATGGCTCATCATTTTGGTAGATTTGTCAAATGCTTGGCCAAGACACTCTGCTAATGTATCCTGACACCAAAACACAGTAAGGGTATTTTCCAGCCTCTTTCCAGAAAGAGATATTTTTAAAAAATTTAAAATCTAGACAAGTAAATAATGGTTCTGTTTCCATCCAAACCTCTTTACATGTTGAGTGAGGTTGTGTACAATTTAGTTTTCAGGTGAGACCCAGGCGTCCTCTGACTGGGTCCACATCTCACTCTGAGATAGTGGGCAGCACAGACAAAAGGTTAAGGTTGGGTTTCTTGTTGGGGAACACCCTGAGAGGCCCAGACCCTCTGCCCCAGGAGGAGAGCATGAGGACCACTGAGCAACCCTTCTCTTCCTCTCTCTAGGAGCCACTACCACTGGGGAGGTTGCAGGGTGCTTTGCTGTCTGGTTAGTGTGAGCGCCTCCTGTGCAACCAGCAATCCCAAGAAACAGGGAGGCCTCAACCTCAATATCAGTTCAGAACGTGGGGCTTCCCAGACTGGAAGTCTCGACCTGTGGCTAGCAGTTGAACAAAGCCTTGCCTCCAAAGTACCTGACCCTCAAGGAAAGTTCCCTCCTGTTCATGTTATCTCCACTCTGTTCAGTCTCAGAGCCAAGTGGTTCATGTGGAGACTCCCATTCCTCCTCCTAGCCTCTCTGGGAACCTGCTCCCCATCCAGCCCAGGGAAAGAAAACTCCTTAGAGAAGAGGAAAGAAATCTGCTTCAGTGTCCCTCTGGGTGATCCTCCCACCCCATCACCTCAAATGCATGAGCAGAGCCGGAATTCAAGGAGCAGCATGGAGTGACAGATGAAACACCCTTTGACACTGGTCCTGCACTTGATGATGCTGTGGCCTCACTGTTTCCACCTACAGGATAGAAAGGCAACTGCTTCAGCTTTCTATTGCTATAAGAGAGTACTTGAGACTGAGAAATTTATAAAGCAGAGAGGTTTATTTTGGATCATAGTTCTGGAGACCAGGAAATCCAAGGGTATACAAGTGAGTGTAGTGAGAGCATGGTAAGACTGAGGAAGTGAATGGGCAAGTACATGAAAAAGAGGGCAAACACGAGGCACAGCCATACTTTATAGCAACCCACTCTCTCCATAACTAATCCCATCCCTGAGAGTGAGAACTCCCAAAGGAGGGTATTCATCCCTCATAACAACCTAATTGCCTCTTAGACACCCCATCTTCAGCACTGCTACAATGGCGATTCAATTTCAGTATGAGTTTCAGAGGGAAAACACCATAATCAATTCATAGCAGCCCCTGCCTTGCCCAACACACAGGATTGTCCTGAACACAGGCTGTTGTGCACATGATGGTGCTTTGTTAACTGTGGATCACAACACAAATGGAGGATCTTTGGTGAATGTCAGCAAACTGGCTGCCTTTGGCTTCTATGCAGGAATATGGCTTTCTGAAGTGACATCTTCAGTCATGCAAGGCCTGCCCCAGGTTAGAGATGTTCCCGAGGCATCTGCCTCCCACCCCTGCTTCCCAGTACCATATCAGTCATCACAACACAGACTGAGTCGTGGCTTCATTCTGATTGTGTGAAAAAGTATTTCATAAGCTTCTGTTTCTACACCACATAAACTAGATGTCCAGCAATGCTTCATTCACTTAGCAGAATCAGGGAGCACAGTTCTACTTGGGTTTTTCAGCCAGTTACATACTCGAGTTAAACACAAAACTGGACATTTTGAAGGGATCATTCTACAATTACTATGTGTTTCTCCACTGCTTTGTAAAAGGAAAGCATTGAACATAGTCCACCTTTTCCCTTATCTCATTGCCGCCATCATACACCCTGATCATCCCACTGAATCTGGAACCACAGTAACCTGTTGTACCACTCATGGCTTTGGACTTTAAGTAAACTACTTAAGCTCTTTGTCCTCAAGTTTTCTTATCTATAAAGAATACACAGTTAGGGTTGGGGTGTAGTGCAGTGGTAGCATGTGTGAGGCCCTGGGTTCAATCCCTGGCAGGAAAAAAAGAGAAAGAGATGAGAGAGAGAGAGAGAGAGAGAGAGAGAGAGAGAGAGAGAGAGAGGGAGGGAGAGGAAGGGAGGGAAGGAGAAGGCAGGGAAGAAAGAGAGATAAAGAAGAAAGGGAGAAAAACAAAGAAAAAGCAGTTAACTAGGAGTGTGTCTGCAATAACATGAAATCAGCAGGTTCAACTTCAGTTTAGTACGTGGATTTGGAAATAACTACTTTGTCCTGAGATATTTTTTGTTCCTATTCCTGGCTTCTCTCCAGATCGCTGAACTTGTTGGCTAAGTAAGGTCCTCCTGTGTGGACAAAAATTCCTTTTTGGGCCTTGAAGAATATAACTAAGGTCCCAATGGAACTTGTTATGCCAACAACCCAAGCCCAGACCCAAGCACTCAGTTCTGATCAGGGAGACTTTCAGTAAGTGCCCTGGAGCAGTCTCGTAGAGACTCACATAAATGAACACACCTCATGGTGCTGAGGCAAAGAATAGGGCTGGGGTGTAGTTCAGTGGTAGAGAGCCTGCTTAGCACTGCAAGTCCCTGGGTTCCCTTTCCAGCCACACACACACACACACACACACACACACACACACACACACACACACACACAATTAGAAGAACTGAAACAAGGAAATCAGAAGCTTCCCTGATCCTCACTGATAAATATGACCTTCCACTTTAGTTAGCAGAAAGCAAAGACACATGCCCCAAACCAACCAGGGTTTACCCTTATAAGAAAGGTGTAGATGCTCACTTTAAAAAGATATAAAAGATTATTTAAAACCCTGGAACAATCCATAGTGAATACCCAGTTGGGGAAATGATGAAACGGTGGCCATTCCAGAATCCGTGTCTTGGCAGAGCTTAGAAATGGCCATCTGTCTGACTAGGAAGGGGAAGGCCAGGGCCCTCCCCCGGATGTTGTGCACACATGACACGCACACTGAATACTTGTCCTGGTGGCTTTTTTGTGTGGAGGTGGAGATTAGGGTGGGCTAGAGACCCAGCCACACTTTGGTTCAGTGCCTAGAAGGACAGGAGTGAAGAAGTGAAATACCTCTTTTTGAGGAGATTAGTCTGTTTTCCTCAGAAGGATGGAGGGAATTCTCTCATCAGTCCTGCTCACTTGCTGCCACTGAGCTTGATTTCCAGAGCTCTATCTGTGGCACTGGGGCTATTTATAAATATGGCACCTGCCTCCTTCGAGTACCCAGATGTGTGGCACTTCCCCACCTTCCTGAAGTGAAGCCACGTGACCAGCTCTGGCCAAAACAGTGTGAGTGGAAGTGACTTGTCACAACTGGGTGACTTGAAGAACCAGCACATGTGTCACCACTGTCTCCTTTCCTCCAGCACTGGTGATGGGAATGTTCCATCTGCCTCCAGCCAGGAATGATGACAGGGGGTGATGTCCCCAGCCAATCTTCCACAGATAGGTAGACTGAGGAAGAACTCAAACACCATTATGTTAGGCCACTGAGTCTTGGGAATTGCCTGTTGCCCCATGACCTGATCAAGCTGGAGTGGCACAATACATCTTGGCCACCAGGAAGTCACTTTCTTCCAAATTCGTAATTTGGGCCAGGGATTTAGCTCAGCGGTTCAGTGGCCTGCCTCACAAGTGCAAGGACCCGAGTTCGATCCCCGGTACCAAAAAAAAAAAAAAAAAAATCGTAATTAACTGTCAAGGGTTCAGTTCCATTAATATAGATTGTACACCCATAGGGCACACTGCACTAGGTGTTCGGCTGTTCTTTAAAGCTGTAGCAATGATTTTTAATTACGAGGAGCCAACCTCCTTTCCAAAAGGTAAATTAGGAGACAGAGCTCTATAATCCCATAAGCCCTCATAATTTACTAGAATTCCTTTTCTGAGCCCAGTAAACATGGTGGTGGGTGCAAAGGCCAGCTATTAAACCCTGCTCCAAAAGCTTGGCCACCAGGGCAGGAGAAGGCCACCACTGTCCTAAACTCCAGTCTCTGATGTGGAAAGTTTCCTCTATGACACTTCCAACTGACCGATGTGCTCTTCCTCCCCAAAACCAGGCTGGGCTGGTCAAATGGGAATCTTGTTTTGTCTTTGGTTTTTTGCTTCATTTTCCCTGTTTAATCTGCACTTTCAGAATGCAGCTCTCTGATTATCCTGTGCCTCCAAAGGTAGATTTCAAGTCATCAATTTCATGTATTATATAAAACATGAGCATAGGAGAAAACTTACACTCATACTCCCCTACACTAAAAAGTAATCCACAAAGCAAGTTTTCCTATACCAAGATATATTAACACAAATGTGTCTGACGCAGTTGTGATGCGACCTAGAGCATCAGCTAAGCAGTGGCTGATAAAACCTCCACCATTTCTACAGACTACACACAAACACAACCCTTGGACAGTCAGGCTGTTTACACAAACCCACCAAGTCCATAATTTCAGGTCAGATTTATTGTTTGAGCCATTATAACTTTTTCACTTCTAAATCAGTACTAACCTATTTATTTTAGCCACCAAAATAACCATGCCATGATCTACTTTCTTACGCTGCTAAAATTATCAGATCAGAATCCACACCCATGAATCAATAAAACGCTCAGAAATAAATATGATGAGGGGAGGAATAAATAACCAGTTGGATGTCAGGGCCGAAGGAGCTGCCTCCCTCTGCAGCCTCACACCCCAGCCTTATGGTTTATACGTACATTGTCATTATTATACCTAACTTCTCATGTATACCTGTATTCTCATTTGCCAAGGTGCCCAGGGCCAGTTTCTAAGTACCTTGATGCATGTGCGGCAGAACCACTCGGATGTAATAGTCAATTAAATTATTAATGAAAGAACTGTACAAATAAAAGCATCGTGCTCTTTTATGTAGTAATAATTATTTTCGTAAGCAATGCAAATTGAATAATAAGAATCATCAGGGCCGTTCAGTGATAAGCTAACAATTTCCAGCAATCAAACCAAACATCTCTGCTCAAGCTGTTTAATAAAATAAATAGCAAGCTTGTTGACATTTTTGTTCAGTTGAGCACACACACATCCAGAGGCTACATTTGTGTCCCAGGTAGAAGAACCAACAAAGGAATGGAATCTGAATGATAGAAAGGTAGAATCAGTCTCAGTGGTGATCATTTAGATAATATCCTTATTGTAAAGATGTGAAATTTTATAAAGTGCCCCCAGAATCCAATGACACAGTTTATTTATACATACACACATGTGCATATCAGTCAATATATTTCCATTACACATCCATTACATGGATTTTTATATATGAAACAACACATTCTTGTAACTAAGTATAATATTTCAGCTACATTCATGTGAAGAATATATTTATATGCTATAATAACAACAAGCCATCACTGTTTAGAAGTCATTACCAAGTGTGGAGCTACCCATGACACAGCCACACACCACACTCAGTAAATGAACCATTTGGTTACTTTGGAGGCTTCTGACTTGGACGCTAAGAAGCACACAGTCCTCTCTCAGAATTCAGTGCTGCCCAGCTCTCTACCAGTCTGCCCAAGACCCAAGACAGACTCAGAAAAAGTCCTGTCCATCCATCAGCTCGAACTAACTCAATTGGAGAGTGACTCAGACCCTCTGGTAGCTTCTATGGCCAATGTCTTTTTGTTCACCTGGAAAACTATGCATCACTAGGAAGTAATCACAGCCTCTGGTAGTGAGGGGAGGGAGGAGTCAAAGGCAGCAAAGTAGCTTCCTGCAGGACCAAAACTGAGCAATTTGCATCTCAAATACATGTATCTTGTAAGAGATCCAACCCTTCAGAGGCCACTGGATTGGGCTCTAGTGCTATGTCCTCTCCAAAGTCCTCTCTTAGAGCTGAGCGTGTAATCAC